GGCTAACGATTCTACTGGATCAAACCAGTCAATCCTAAAGGAAATCAGTTCTTAATATTCACTGGAAGGACTGATGCTGAAACTGAAGCTCCAATACTTTGGCCACCTGATGCAAAGAACTGATTCATTGGAAAAGACCCTGATGCTAGGAAAGATTGAACGCAGGAGGAAAAGGGGATGATAGAGGATAAGATGGTTCGATGGCATCACTGACTAGATGGACATGAGTTTGAGTAAGCTCTTAGAGTTGGTGAAAGACAGGGAAGCCTGGCGTGCTGCAGTCCATGGGGTCACAGAGTCGGACATGACTGAGTGACTGAATTGAACAGAACAGAACTGAACCAAACGACTCTACACATATATTTAATCTTATAGGTAATGAAATAATTGCAGGGTAAGCTCTTTGGCACACAATTTTGATGTAATAAAAATTTTTATTTGCATATTAAGAGGGAGGAGACACTGAAATGTATGTCTCACAAACTGCTATTGCAGGGAAATGTTTGGCAGCATTCTGGGTCTGGATCTCATTCATCATAGTTAAATATGCTTCTCCTTAGAAAAACATCCTATATCACTGTACATCCCTCCACCAGCTAATTCCATATATCTCTACTTTTCCTGCCCATACTCTGTGTCTAGGATACAGAGTATATAGTTTTGCATTTTCTGCACACCGAATTGTCTTCACCTGAACTTTTGAATGAGAAGTGTATGAATTCATTTCATATACATAATCAATTCTACTTTTTTAATGCAAGGACCCATGAATCACATCAAATAATACACTTCTGAAAAAGTTTGGATTGATATATTAAAAAAGATCTCTTTCTATATATATACGTATATAATCAAGACAAATTGAAAGGTATTGAACAAATTAAAAGGTATTATTGTTGTTTAGTTGCTAAGTCATTTCCAGCACTTTGCAACCCCATGGACTGTAGCCTGTCAGGCTCCTCTGTTCATAGGCTTTCCAAGGCAAGAATACTGGAGTGGGTTACTTCTTTCTTATAAATTTATTCTCCATTTATATCCATGCTCTTGATGGGACTGTAAATTGATGCAGTTACTATGGAAAAGAGTAGAGAGACTGCTCAAAAAATTAAGCATAAAATTACCTTATGATCCAGCTATTCCAATTTGAGTATTTATCCTAAAAATACAAAATCAGAAATTTGAAAAGATATATGTGCCCCTAAGTCCATCACAACATTATTTTCAACAGCCAAATATGGAAACAACCTAAGTGCCCATCAATGGATGACAGGCATGTATGTATGTAAAAGAAGAAGGCATGTATGTATGTAAAAGAAGAAGGCATATGTGTATGTAAAAGAAGAAGGCATGCATGTATGTAAAAGAAGAAGGCATGTGTGTATGTAAAAGAAGGCATGTATGTATGTACAATGTAATGTTACTCAGTTATACAAAAATGATGAAATCTTGGAGGAGGAGATTAAGATGGCAGAGTAAGAAGATGTGGACCCCACCTTGCCCACAAATGTATCAAAAATAATTTACATGTGATATATATACACAACTGTATTTAAAACTGGAGAAGGAAATGGCAACCCACTCCAGTACTCTTGCCTGGAGAATCCCATGGACAGAGGAGCCTGGCGGGCTACAGTCTATAGGGTCGCAAAGAGTTGGACACGACTGAGCGACTAACACACACACATATTTAAAATAGATAATTAATAAGGACCTACTGTCAAGGCTATGGTTTTTCCAGTGGTCACGTACAGATGTGAGAGTTGGACTATAAAGAAAGATAAGTGCAGAATAATTGATGCTTTTGAACTGTGGTGTTGGAGAAGACTCTTGAGAGTCCCTTGGACTGCAAGGAGATCCAACCAGTCCATCCTAAAGGA